GTAGAGTATCAGACCCTTACGGGCAGGCGAGCTCCAAACATGTTACAAAGCAACAAACTCGTAAACCACTTTGCCACCAGGGTGCCTCAGGTGCTGAAAGGGGCAAACTCCCTGCCGCAGGCCATTTGGACTCAGGGACAGACAGGACGGCGGGAGAACTGCCTCTGTGCGTTCCTGAGGCTGTCACGCTTTTTAAAAAAATCGTTTTATTAGGGGCTCATACGACTCTTATCACAATCCATACATACATCAATTGTGTAAAGCGTATTTGTACATTCATTGCCCTCGTCATTCTCAAAACATTTGCTCTCCACTTAAGCCCCCGGCATCAGGTCCTCCTTTTTCCCCCCTCCCTCATGAGCCCTTGATAATTTATAAATTATTATTACTTTGTCATATCTTGCCCTGTCCGACGTCTCCCTTCACCCACTTTTGTTGTCTGTCCCCCAGGGAGGAGGCCACATGTAGATCCTTGATATCCGTTCCCTCTGAGACTGTCACTCTACAGGAGCAGAAAAGCCTCATCTGTCTCCACTACGCCTCAGGGCTCAAACTCGAAACCACACTCGCTCCCATTGGTCAATTCTGACTCATAGCACCCTGTAGGGCAGAACCAATGGCCCCTGCGAGTTTCTAAGGCTGTCAACTCTTTATGGGAGTAGAAAGCTCCGTCTTTCTCCTGCGGAGTCAGCTGGGGGTTCTGAACTGCTGACCTCATGTTTAGCAGCTTGATGAGTACAATGGGGAGAAACTACTTCCCTCCCACTAAGTAGTGCTAAGACGGAAAACAAGCACACGCAGAAAGGAAAAACACTAGCTGTTGTCAAGGCTGTGGAGAAATGAGAACCCTTATCCATTGCTGGGGGGATGCAAAATGGTACAGCTGCTACGGAAAACAGGTGGGCAGTTCCTCATAAAAACCTAAATCAACTTAATATCAGGCCATCTTATGACCCAGCAATTTCACTGCTAGGTATACCAGAAGCCTTCAAAAAGTTAGTGAAAAAATGGAATTGAAAGGCAGTGGAACCTTTCTGTGGATTTTTCCGAAGCCCCCTTGCATCTCTAAGTGACCTGGAGGCAGTGACCCGAACGTGCCCCAGGTATACCAATGTTCACTGCAGCACCAGTCACAATTCGCCAAATGGTAGAAACAACCTAAATGTCCAACGGGCGGCTGAATGAACACAGTGTGGCCGACTTCCAAGAGTATTGGCCAGCCATGCAGCGTCCTGATAGATGCCACAGCGTGAATGCACCTTGAAATCATTATGTACATCCAGAAAACTACAAAAGGTAGCTCTATTGTTGTTGGGTGTCCTTGAGTCAGCTCTCACTGACTAATCTGAGGCACGTCCAGCGTGGAGCGCAGTTTACACCGGGTCACCAGCAGCAGGAAGCAGCACTCGATGGAGTGAGGATTGAGGAAGCACCGAGCTTCCGGGAGAGAAAATGACACAGGGCTCTGGTGAAGGAAGTGCAAGCCGGAGACTGTCACTCATCTCAGGAAATCATGTCCGTGGAAAAGGCTGAATTGCAGATAGTGAGCTATTTATATTATTAAAAAAATGTTTTTAATTAAGGGCAAGGGCTTTGGTGCATGATGTATCGCCAATCTAGCATGTGCCTGAGAAGAAAGCAGGTCTTCAGTAACGAACTGCACATGAATAAAGTGTGACCATGAACGCCTAAGTGTTCAACATCTTCTAGGTAGTATAAAACATGTGGGAAACAATCTAGATTACTTTCATATGACCGCCTTGCCTCTTCCCACCCCCCCACCCCGCCTCCCCCTTGCTCGGCCTTTGTGTAAATGCAAGGGTACCTGCAAACCACGCTCCCAGCCAACCATTTCTCCACTTTGTGTCCAGTGACCCTCTTCCGGGAATTCTCTCCTTCGGTACATTCTTCACGTGTCTGCTTTCCATTAACTAGTGTTTAGTTGTTCCAGCCATCAACCTAGTTTCAGAGGCCCCGGCTTCTGATCTGTGCTTTAGCGTACCGACTGATGATTTGGTTTCAGTGTTTGCTGTAAGCACAGTGTTTGGGCAATGTGGCGGCCTCCATCTTTGCCAGGGCAGTGATTGCTCACCTGTGTGAGCAATCTTCCGGCCCGAGGCCATCCAAACTGTGGAAAGAAGGCCCGCCTCGCCTCTGCGCCATCCACGCGACACTGCAGTCAGACGCAAACACCAGTCACTTCCTCGGTCGATTGACGACACCTGTGGGGCACCTGATGGGCGGGGGATCTGCAACAGCCCTTGAGAGAGTGGGCCTCCTGCTTCCTCCCATCCTGAAGTGTCACTTTCATCAGATCAAGGAAAGGGAGAGAGAACATGAAGGCTCCCGTGTATCTGCTTCTTCATCTTCCTTCTGGCCTTTGGCGAAGGAGAAAGGCTGGTTTAAAAAAAAAAGACAACGATGGAGAAGGACATCTGCAAGGAAGAGACGCCCGAGGGAACGTGTGTTCGTCAATAAAGCCCGAGCAAACTCTCGGATCAGAGGACAACAGCTCTCGGGCAGGGCCAGACTGGTATGCTAACGATGCTTATCGGCTATCTGGCTATCTCAAGATTGCACCAGTCCGGAAGTACGGAGCTGGAGCTGTGCGATTCCCAGAGCCGAGTGTGTACCCTTTGTGCCTGTCTCTGCAAAGACGAGTGCAAAGCTTCATGGGAACTGTCCCAGCTCACGTGTCATCATGCAGAACATGAGAACCCAGCGGGTTCAATAGTCCTAAGAGCGGTGGTTTAAATCTGCACATTCTTTTTAATAAATGGCAATCACTTGATTAGCTGTCCCAATTAGGATGCCCCTTGGAGGTCCTTAGATGCATCTTGACCTTCCGCTAATAGCCCGAGTCTCCAACTGCCAAGACTCTAAAGGTGCCATCTTGTTTTTTCACACCTGGAGTGACTTCCCGTTGGAACCCAAGCTCAGCCCACTGGGTTGTGTTAGTGACGTGTGGTGCAGAGCAAAAAAAGTTATTTGAGCATCTTCAGATGAGATGAGCATGGGGGTGTCAACCACTTGACACCTAATGGCCTTTCTTATAATCCAGGGGTTTTTAATAGAGTACATGAATAGCTCGCATCATATCCATTCAGAAAACAGGTGAGGACAAACTCTTTCTACTGAGTGTTGTGAGAAACAGTATTTTCTGAAAAATTAGTCTAGACACTTGAGATTTCATCTTTTCCTTGACGATAAATCCTCACTGAAATTTTCCAAAGGTACATTGTAGTAATGAAGGGGAGGGAAAGTAGCCGTGATCTTCTTAGAATTGACACCAGAAACAAGCCCTGTTTGCTGGGCGCGGGTAGGTCAGGCACCGAGTCCCATCCCGTCGGCTGAGTGGCCACACTGCGCGGCAGTGGTTCTCAGCCAGCATCACAATCAACGGGGAAGCATGCTCAAACACCAGCAGCTTTTCCCAGTTCCTAAAGATATAGAATAAAATTCTACTGAAGTTTTAAAAAGGAAGTTAGAAAGCACAGTATTCAAGGGTGATACTCCCTCCTTTACAGGGGCATCTACTTAGCTAAAAGGTGACGTGAAGGATAGCTTCAGTTTGAGGTTTAAAAAATGTCTCGGGGTAATAGTGTCAGGGATTCTTCCCTCAGTGGGCCCAGTAAGCCTGGATTTTGGGAGGGAACCTGGGAGTTCTATACCTTTTCCTCCCTTCTATCAGGATCTACCTATTGTGGTCCTGATCAGAGAACTCAGAGTTGGCAGAAGGGCACCATCTAGTCCCGCTGTCTCAGGAGTGTGTGTGTGTGTGTGTGTGTGTGTGTCACCCCTATATTTGAGCTCCTTGTTACCGTCATGGTGTCAGCCCATCTTGTTCAGTCTTTCTCTTTCACATTTCACCAAACGTAATGTCTGGTCTACCTGATGACGTGTGCACAGTACGTGGGATGAAGTCTCACCCCTCACTTCTGAGGGGCATCTGGGTTGTACTCCTTCCAAGGGGGATTGACGTGTCCTGCTAGTAGTCCTTGGGACATTCAACAGTCTTCTCCGACACAATTCAAATAATTTGACATTTTTACAATAAGTAACCTTTGTCCACGTGAGATGCAGTCAATTACTTAATATGGCTTTTTAAACCAAGCCCTTTCTGGTGGATTCTAAGTTCTAACCTCCATCAGGTGGTGATTATCCCGTTTTGAAGGGAGTCCTGCTTCAGGATTAAAGTGGGATATATTCTGAGTCTCCAGCTCTCTAGAGGGCGTGACTCAAGTCCGTACCCTGCGCTCCCTCGCGAGTGTGGTCTGCTGAAGGACAAGCCTCTGCCTCCATCAAAGCCTCCTGCCCAGCGGCCTGGGCCTCCTGACTGAGCGGCGCTAGAAGCAAGGCCTGCTTGGACTTTCGCACATTCTTCCGCGTCGTCGTGACCTCTGGTTCTTGGGCCTTCAGTTCTGGTCTGTCACCTGCCCTGGCTTCATAAGCTCCCACAGCCTTTTAGATGCGAAGGGTGCTTTAGACAGGCATCAGAACTGTAGATTTGATACTTCATCGTGAGCCATTTCATTCCCGCTTCACTGAGTGCTGTGGGCGCTGCAGGGATCTGCCTGGTTCCCCGCGTGTGAGGAAAACACCACTGCTGAGCCCTGCTGGCTAACAGCAGAGAAGATGGAGCAGCAGAACACCTTGGGAAACTAGACGTCGGGGACATCTTTAACCTCCACCTCCTCCGGACTCGTCTGGTATGCATTCTTGTAGAAGAATCGTTACCACGGCAGCGTGTGAAGTCAATATTTCTCCCAGCCTCTGTTTGTGATTCTACTGTCAATCTCTTCTTCTGGCTTCTGAGTTTGAGGCAGCTTCGAAAGTCCTTTCCTATTCCAAGTTTGAAGCTTTTCTGTATGCATCAATAACAGTTTATAGCATTAAGATCTTTGATCCATTAGGGATTACTCTGAGACAGAAAAAGCAAATGCTCTAGTTTAAAAAGCAAATGTAAGTTTAAAATATACTAAGTACAAATTTCTAGATACCATTTATAAAACGTGAAGCTTTTATTCAAACATCAAAAATTTTAAAAAACCCGAAAGTTTAACCTTTTCACTATGTACCTTTATAAGCATATTTAATACATATGTCTCTCATATATACATATACACACACAGGTGCATGGTACCATATGGTACACACAGATACACACACGCAGATACATGGTACCATGTATGTGTGAGAAAATTCTAGTTTCCATAATTTTCTAGAATGTTAAGTTCCAATTTTACATTCTCGTAGCATTAAGACATTATCTCAAATTCCTACTTCATTTTTCTTATTATCTTATCACTTTCTTGGATCTTGAAGATTTCTTTTTTGTTTTACTATATCTTGATTTAAAAAGTCTCTTTTCAATTAAGCTCACTTCTTCATGGAGAAAAGATGCCTTTATTCTTAGCAGGAAGGAGAAAAGATTTAGTATAAACTGGTAACTCAGAGAATAATTCGATTCTTCATAGGTTGTCACATGTTTACAATAGCTGGAAGAAGAAAACATATGGTTAGGCTTAAAACAGTAGTCAGAGCTAGAAGGAAGCTTAATGGGCTAAAACTCTGGTATTTTTAGCACTGTCTATACCCACCATACAAGGGCCATGGGGCTGCTTAGAGCCAGCTTCTCCCCTTCTAGAGCCGCTCCTTTCTGCAGTGCTCAAGCAACCCAACCCAAGCAAGCACACAGCCCTGGGCAGTGTGAAAGCCACTAGGTCCCCAGCCACGCAACACCAGACTCTAGAAAGAAGCTCATACTCCTGTACCCTTGCACCAGAAGAAGAGTCGACACAGCAATTTTACTAATTTTAAAATAGTGGAACCATGACGTATTCAAATCTCTCTTTCTACCAAGAGATAGGAATGCAGGGGACTAACCCTAACTACTGACTCATAGAGACCTCCTAGGCCAGGGCAGAACTGCCTGTGAGTCTCCAAGACTGCTGGGAACTGTTAAAGGGAGTAGAAAGCCCTATCTTTCTCCCGTGGAGCAGCTGGTGGTTTTGAACCGCGGACCTAGCAGCCCGCAGCCCAATGTGCCCACTATGCCACAGGGCTCCTGATGCAGGGCTTGAGGGGCCCGAGAACATTGTCGAAGGGCTGCAGTCAGCCAGTCAGGCCCAGTGATCTGGTTTCCTCAACAAGTAAAGCTGAGAGCACACAATCAGACACAGGGAGGAGTTGAAGATGAGACACTGGGGCAGTGTCTGTCCTACAGGGTCTCCATGAGCCAGAGCCAACTGGGCAGCACTGGGGTCTCTGTACGTAAGTCACATAAATTGTAAACATTACCTGATTACTGGAAAATGAAAACACTGGCTGCACATTTGATATTATAGAATTACCATAAGCCTCTTTTAAGTCTAATTAATGTCATTATAGTTGGTTTTAAAAATATTATATTTCAATTGCTGTGGCCTGAATTGTGTCCCTTACCATGTGCCACAAATCCTAGGATATCCATGGCTCCAGTCTCATGCGACAAAGTCTCCTCAAGTGGTGCTGGCAAAATTCCCAACGCACACAATGAGCTCAGGATGGACCACAGCCCGGGAGGAGTCCCGGAACTAGAGAGGTCCTCCCTGAGGAAGCAGGGACCAGCTGAAGGGCCCTGGACAGGGCGCCAACCTGCTGTCCGAGCAGCGGAGGGAGCACACCTGGGGGAAGACTAGTAGATGAAGGAGACCCGCTGGAACGAGGACACTAACGCGCATCAAAGCACGCCACCAGAAAGCGGACTCACAGAGTCGGCACAAATCTCTGACCGTGACACAGAGAGGAACTAGTTTCTAAAACCTATAGAAAAGGGCAGTATCTCCATACAAAAAAAGACAAATAATGCAATTAAGAAGTGGGCAAAGGACATGAACAGACAGTTCACCAAAGAAGGCATCCAAATGGCCACCAAGCACATGAAGAAATGCTCATGATCACTGTCATCCAGGGGTGCAAATCCAAGCGAGGAGGAGGCTGCTACCAGCGTACCCCGACGACGACAGCCAATGTCATAGATTCAGACACTGACGTGTGCTGGAGAGGCTGGGGCTGCAGAGCTGTCCAGCCACGTGGAAAGCCAAGTGGAGCTCCCCCAACAAGTAGGACTGGGAATTCCATGCCATCCAGCAATCTCTCAGCTAGGTTGATATCCGAAAGAAGTGTTGGAACACAGACAGACACGTGCATGCCCAATTTCACTGAAGCACTGTTCACAATAGCAAGCTAGTGGAAACAATCTAAATGCTCATCAGGAGAAGAACGAGTAAGAAAATTTTGTACACATGCACAATGGAATACTATGTATTGCTAAAAACAATAAAGAAATCAGGAAGCACTTCTTGGCATGGATGGACCTAGAAAAACAATATGCTGAGTGACATTAGCCAATCACAAAAGGACAAATATTGTAGGAGACCATTGCTATAAGGAAAGAAAAACAAAAAAAGATAAAGGCTTTCTTGCCGATGGGGGTGGAGTGGGGAGAGGGCAAGAGAGGGAAGAAGATAAAGCAACAGACTGGACAGCTGAGGGTGTGAGGCTGGGTGAGTGGCGCACGGTGGTCCACAAGAAGGAGAAGAGAGATCAAGGAGCAGGGGGAGGACTGAGCGGAGCCCATTGCCGGGTGGTGGGGGTGGTGCTTAGTAGCCTGAATTGTTGAATACAAAATTGATGATCTGAAATGGTCACCCTCACCTAATTTACAATTCAAAAAATGTTAAAAATAAAACGAGGGAGAAGACTGGGTTCTGTATATAAGATACCAATTGAGGGGTACCCATAAAAACCCAGAATTTTTCTCCCCAAAGCTATGTATTAAAAAAAATTTTTTTTAAAACAAAACAACCTTATCACCTTCAAAGCACTCTCCATTACATTTAATACATTTGTCAGATCTGCGATTCCCTCTTAGAGACAGGACAGCCCCACCACTCCCCTTCCAGGTCCAGCCCTGTGCCTTGCATCAAGCAGTTCAGTAAGTAGCTGGTTCTGGGGCCAAAAAACCCCAACAACCTGCGATTCTACTCTTGGAACCCTTGTTCAAACTCATCTGTTTGGATGGCTGATGGCACCTCCCTTGTTCTTTTCTTCACCTCCCTCTACGCCATCCAATCACTGTGTGACTTTTTAACTTTAAATAAAGGAACCACACTTGGACCCCCCGTCTTCTGATCATAAGAGCTCATCACCTGCGACAGAATTTCTGTGTACTGAGCCAGTAGAGTGAATTCTTGGTTGTCAGGGACTGTCCTTTCTTCTTCAGGACTCCCTGCAGGCTGTGTCCATGGAAACAAGTGCTGTCAGGGTCTTCTTCGGTCCATTTGAACTGAAAACTTGAAGGGCTTTTATTTTCAACAGTTGGCGTTGAATCAACCAGCATGCTAAACTGCTTTTGTAGACTCACTACCATTTCTGGGGGAAAGGAAAGGAGTAAAATACAAACTAATGTTAATTCACAAAGCATGAGATAATGAAACATACTTTAAAACAAAACGTGGCACAATTACTACTTATCTGTGCAGTCATTCACTGTTAAAAGCAGACAGTTCTTACCTACGACAGGAGCCCGAGCTGGCACAGTGGTTACACATTGGTCTGCAGCTTGCAAGGTCAGCAGTTTGAAACACCAGCTGCTCCATGGGTCAAAGGTGGGGCTTTCTACTCCCATGAAGACTTACCGTCTTGGAAACTCATAGCGTCAGTTCTGCCCTGCCAGGCAAGGTCGCCCTGAGTCAGCACCAACTTCCTGGCAGTGAGTTGTTGATTATCTACTACACACCAGGTATTGTACTAAAAACCAAACTCACGCCATCGAGGGGATGCCAACTCATAGCAACCCAATAGTGCAGGGCAAAGCTGCAAATGTTTGCAGGGCAAATGTAGAAAGCCCCGTCTTTCTCCTGTGGAATGCTAAGGCGCTCTGAATTGTCAAGAAATAAGAACAAAGTAAGGAGACTCACAATTCCTGATTTCAAAATGTGAGTAAAGAGCCACAAGACTCCATACCATCTGGTGTTAGAGCTCCACGTCCAAAGTCAAAGCCGCACATCTACGGTCCACTGACTTTTGACCAGAGTGTCGTCTACTCAATGGGGGAGGAATGGCCTTTTAAACAGTCCTGGGGCCTTGGATCCACTTAATACCATCTATGAGAATTAGCTCAGCATGGACGAAGGGCCTAAATATAACAACTAAACTAATGACACTCTTAGGAGAAACACGGGGATAAACCTCAGGGTGCTATTTCTGACAATGGATTCTTAGGTAAGAAATCAAGAGTATTAGCAACAAAAGACAAAGAATACATCAATTATGCTCCCCAACTTTTATACATCAAAAGGCTTTTTCCAAAAAGTGAAGAGATCATCTACAAAATGGGAGAATATACTTGGAAATCATATGCCCAACAGGGGTTTAATATATAGAATATTAATAGCCAGACATTATAGGTTTGTGATCATTGTGCTACTGATTTATAGTGAACTCCTTTACAACTTAACAAAAGGACAAACGACCCAATTACAAATTAAGCAAAGACGCTGAATAAACATTTCACCAAAGAAGATATACAAATACTCAATGAGCACGTGAAAAGATGTTCAATATTATTTGTCATCAGAGAAATACAAATCAAAACCACAATGAAATGCCACTTATTGGAAGACAATGCAATGGGATGGTCACTCTCTGAACAAAACAGAGAACAACAAGTGGTGAGGGGGACGTAAAACGGCACAGCTGCTGTTTGAAGCAATATGGTGGTTCTTCAACAAGTTAAACATATAATTACCATAAAACTCACACCAAACCCTTAACTCTGACTCATAGCGTTTCTGCAAGGCAGGACTTTTCCATAGGGTTTATGAGGCTGTAAATCTCTGTGGGAGCAGACAGCTTCATCTCTCCCCTGCAGAATGGCTGGTGGGTTCCAGTTGCAGTTAAGAACCCAATGTGTAACACCCTACCACCACCACCACAACCCCACCCCAAGCCGGCAGTTATGGGATTCCAACTCACAGAGTCCCTAGATAGTGTCCAAAGACGTACACTTTTATTGGAGCAGATAGTCTCACTCAACTGGTGGCTTTGAACCACCAACCTTGTGGTTAGCAATCCAATGCTTATTACGAGGCAGGCCATACAATTCCACTCCTGGGTATGTAGATACCCAAAAGGCTTGAGTGAAAATGCTGCATCTTTATTCATGAAAACCACCAAGTGGAAACAATGCTAATGTTGACCAACAGATGGGTGAGAAACAAAAATTAATCTGGGAGTCATACAATGATTATGATTCAACCATAGAGAAAGGAGGTTCGAATACATGTTGGGACATGAACCTTGAAGATATTACAGTGTATGAAACGTGTTAGACACAAAAGGGCAAATGCTGTCTGAGTGATGATTCCACTTAGGTGAACTATCTGGAACAGGCACATGCCTAGAGACCAAGCTTTCAGTGGTTATCAGGAGGGGGAGCGGAGGAGGAGGGACTGCTGAAAGGATACTGAGTTTCCATGTGGAAAACTTTGGGAGTTAGTGTTGATGGTTGCTCAGCATGGTGAATGCAATTAGTGTTACTGAATTATGCCCTTTAAAATGGTTTTAAAATGTCATTTTTGGGGTTATACATACAAGAGGTCTTAAAGTTCATGGAAAAATGTGCATTTTGAAAAAAATTATGCATGGAACTTAAGAAAAACTTTTTGCCTCAAAATAAACTCATACTGACTTGTTATAACATGTCTGAACAGTGAAAACGATAAGACATAAGCTTGGAAAGAAGCCCCGTCAGAGCAGTATGAATTCTCTAACTGCTGAAGCAAGCGCAAACATCAAAATCTATGGTGAAGCTTGGGTGGGAAAACGCTGAAATCACTGGCGCATTCCAAAAAGACAATGCCCCAGAGAAATCAGCAGCTCATACTAACTCATTTTAGCAAGGGATGGATGAGGTGACGCTGAAAATGAAGACCACCCACGTCACGTTTGAAGGAAATAACTAAACTTGTTCGTGCCCTAATTGAAGAGGACCGAAGAGAAGATTAACAGCAGAGATTAACAGCCCACACCAGAGACCTCTCAACTGGTCAGGTTATATAATTCTGACTAAAAAAGTAAAGTCGAGTAAACTTTCTGCTTGATGGCTACAAAGTGTTGCATGCAGATCAACTGCAGACAAGAGTAGAGCTTTTGATGAAAAGTTCCACAGGTGGAATTAAGATCCTGAAGCATTTCTTAGACACGGCTTTACCAGTACGATCCTGAAGACCAGCGCAGTGAAGACAATGGCTCACCAAGAGAAAGAAGAGGTCCCGTCCAAGCAGAAGCCAACCAGTCGAGAGCAAATGTCATGGCAATACTTTTTTGGATAGTTTACGGCTTTTTGCTTATGAGGAGTGTTTTGAGAACGTTAGCCAAAGCTTTAGCAGAAACACATCTGGGAGAACTTCCCCAGAGAGTCCTTGTCCATCACGACAATGCTCCTGCTCACTCCTCTGCTCAAACGAGGCCACCTCTGTGAGTTTCCATGGGAAAGCATTAGGCATCTAGCCCACGTCCTGACTTGGCTGTATCTGATTTGTGTGTGTGTGTGTGTTTGTTTCATAATCTTCAAAAGTATTTAAAGGGCACTCATTTTTCTTCAGTTAACGATGTAAAGAAGATTGTGCTGACATGGTTAAATTCCAAGGACCCTCGGGTTCTTTAGAGAGGGCCTAACTGGCTGATACCATTGTTTAACCAAGGCATCTTGAACTTAAGGCACTTTGGTTAAGAAATAGAGTTTATATTACTTTTAAAATTCTTACCTTTTAATTCTATTTCCCATGAACTTTTTGAGGACCTCTTATATTTTACTACAATAACAATTTTAACAGGGAGTGGGTTATAAGTGCTGGGGCACGAAGGAGGGGTAGATTATAGTAGGTTAGGGAGGGTTATGAAAAAAGGTACTGCTTGAGTCAAGAATTACGGTCCACGAGTTTAAAAGAAAAGCGAGAGGCATTCAAGTCGGTGGGAACAGCTGGCACACAGACCCTGGGCAGGAGTGCCTATGAGGCTACCTGAGCAACTGCAGAGAGGGCAACACAACAGAGGGGGCAGACCTCAGAGGCCACTGTCAGGACAGAGGTTTCATTCTGAGAGGAAAACTAAGCTATTGCATTCTATGAACCAGTCCAGAAAAGTCATTTTAAAGGTATTTTTCAGTTTTTGAGCATAAAAAGTACTTTCTCAATGCAAACAATTTTCTTCAAGACATTTGGCTTCAATAACTTACAGTTATTAAAAGATAATATCCACCAAAATGAAAACATTTGTAGCGACCACAGACAGTTAACTGAATGCACAAGACAATCCAAAGGCAAGTTTCCAAACAGAGTCACAGAAATAGGATTTTCTATTGCAGCGAGAACTTAAGTTCTCTCTTACAGCATGCATACAGGCATGGTGCCAAACTAAACCAAGGAATTCCTATGGAGATTTCTGGATGGAGATGATGCTCCTTGGATGTACATGAACTCTGGAACATTTGTTAAAGAAGAAAAAGTATGCATTCATTTTTCAAAGTCAAGATATTTAGCTCTTCTACAACTGTTTTCTTACTTGGCATTAACAAGAGACACTTGGCCTTACCTCTTCTTTTGTACACCACCGATCTGTCGATGGACGAGTAGTAGAGCGGCTTCTCGCTTTTCCACAGGTACCTGTACAAACAGGAAGACGGGGGCGCTCAGGACGGAGAGGAAGGGAGCTCCAGTGCACGTTACAGAAGTGTCTTTGAAGTCTGCAAGTCCTGATGTTCAGGGTAAAAGCTCTGGCTCAGAATGATCTAGTCACAAGGAGGTTTCAGAAAGGTCATGGGAAAATTCTTTATCTTTCAATTCTATTTCCCCATGAGCTTTTTGAAGGCTCCTTATATAGAGCCGTCTAGATCTAAGCAAGCTGCACTGAATGAGAGAGCAGGCCAATTGAAGGGGTGCCTTTCCCCAGAGTCCCCTAAGTGACAATGACCCTGAAGAAACTATTGTACAACATAAAAAGGCTTCTCTCATCTTAAAAGCCACCTAAGAAACAACTGTTCCTCCTTCTCCTTGCCTTTGCTCCAACCGCCCTTTAGCCGAGGACTAAGTTAGGAGTGCTTCTGGTTCTGTGAACTCTTACAAGCAGCCATTAGACGGATGTCTCTGTGGCATCTATTCAATCCTGGTGGGAATAAGGAAGAGAGACCGAGACTCCAGCATGACCTGATTCTATGATCCAAAGGATTCTTGCCAAGATAATGCCAGCCAGAGAGGAGCTGTTTGAAGATGAAGATCCTGGATGCATGTGGTCCTGTGGGTTCCCACCAAGTTGCAAAGACCAGGTCAGAGTTCTTCTAGGTTTAGGGTACCAGGTTAAAGGTAATTATTTCTTGCACTGTCTCTGGCCCTAGTTCCAGATTCCAGCATAAATCTATAATTTAGTTATTGCTAAAGTGTTTTGCTGCTCTGTAACAAATACAACACTTAATGTTAACTTTCAGACTCAACTTCATTATCTTTTATTAGTTCTCTAGAGTAAATGACTTCTATAATTTATAGTAAAAAAACATCAAAACATGGGACAAGGGGGTGGGATGAAAAGGTAGCGCACGGGGGTTTCTCAGAGCAATGAAACTATTGTATAGGATACTGTAATGGTAGATACATGATATTATATCTTTTTAAAACCCCATAGAACTGTATGAATCCTAAGGTAAACTATGAACTTCAGTTAATAATTTATCAGTATTGGTTCATCAATTATAACAAATGCATCATATTAACACAAGAAGTTAATAATGGAAAACTGTGGACAGTAAGAGAGGGCGTGTATAGGAACTCTGTATTTTATGCGGATTGCTCTATAAACCTGAAACTGCACCAAAAAACCGAAGTGAGCAATGACAATGAGTATCTTTTTGTGTGATTACTCATCACCTGCATACTTACTGGCATTCAAACCTTTCATTTATCTCACACTCCATACATACATCCATTGTGTAAAGCACATTTGTATATTTGTTGCCATCATCATTCTCAAAATATGTGCTTTTACTTGAGCCCTTGGTATCAGCTCCTCATTTTTTCCCCTCCCTCCCCGCCCCCTTTCCCTCACGAACCCTTGATAATTTATTAATTATTGTTATTTTGTCAAGTCTTACACTGTCCGACATCTCCCTTCACCCACTTTTCTGTTGTCTGTCCCCCAGGGAGGAGGTCTCATCTAGATCCTTGTAATCGGTTCCCCCTTTCCAACCCACCCTCCCTCCACTCTCCTAGTATTGCCACTCACACCACTGGTCCTGAAGGGATCATCCATCCTGGATTCCCTGTGTTTCCAGTTCCTATCTGTACCAGTGTACATCCTCTGGTCTAGCCAGATTTGTAAGGTAGAATTGGGATCCTGATAGTGGGGGTTGGGGGATGAGAAGAAGCATTAAAGAACTAGAGAAAAGTTGTATGTTTCATCGTTGCTACATGCACACAGACTGTTTCATCTCCCCGTGACCCTTCTGTAAGGGGATGTCCAGTTGTCTACAGATGGGCTTGGGGGTCTTCATTCTGCACTCCTCCTCATTCACAATGATATGATTTTTTGTTCTTTGATGCCTGATACCTGATCCCATCGAAACTTCGTGATTACATACGCCGGTGATTCATTTTTAAAATTGGATTATTAATTTTTAAAAATATAATCTAAATATTTATCTTTTATTGCATATGTGACTTACAAATTATTTTTCTCCTAGTCTGTGGTTTCCTATTCTCCTAATAGAGTCTTTCAAAGAGTAGAATTTCTTACTTTTGGTAAAGTTCATTTTATTTATTTATCTATTGTCCTTTAAATATTTTTAGTGTCATGTTTAAGAAAACTTTAGCAAAAGTCTTCTGCATATACTTTTTAATTTCCCTCCTTCTTGTTCTCAACATTTTCCTTCGCAACTCAAACGTCATTAAACCCACCACCTCTTAAATGGTTTTTAGTTTTTCAATAATGCTTGCCATTTTTAGTGCTCACTCACTACCACTGAATCCATTAAAACCCATAAAGACCTGTGGTTCTGGGGAATGCTTCAAGGACTTCCATCTGACAACATGGGAGATGATACAGAGAACAGAGAAAAAAACTGGTCACGTATATGACAAATAAAGTGGCGGAGATTGAAGGAGATTGAAAAAGACAATCAGCACGACCGGGGGCTGGTCCCCTCCCGCTCGTTGGTGATGCCCTGTGCGTTACCTCACGCAGCCCTCAGCACACACCCTCTGAATCACAATGGAAACAACGGGTCCCCTGGACAATCCCTGCCATCGGGCCGGCGGCCTCTCTGGTCATGAATTCTCTTAGAAGGGAGCAAAAAGTTATTCAGTCTTAGATGTGCAATTAAATAGAAAATGCAATCGGAATTAATGGAAACACTCGTAAAACCCAAATAGAATCTGGGGTTTAGTTAATGTCTGGCTAATGTTTCTAGGGAAAGGTCACCATGCTGATAAGCCTGTAGTGGTGAAATTTCAGCTCAATGTACAATCACAAATGTGGAAAGAAAGCAGGCGGATTCTACACTCCAAGAAGAAACATACTTGGCCCTGGCTTCTTCCCATTTTCGCTTTTTCTCATCAACAGCTTTCTTCATAACTTGGTACCATTTTCTAAAATCAAACCAAGGCTTATCTGGAAGAAATGAAATCCATAAATATTAACCAAAGTAAACTATATTATCATAATATGAATTACACTATCATAAAGTACATTACTCCTGTGAATCTTCATTTATCAATATAGAGATAAATATGTCTATTACAGCTCTTAGAAACCACAGTGAGGCAATTGTCTCCATATCCTGGTATGACTCCCCCAAGCAGTCCTTACGTCTGTCCCTTCTCTGGGTTCCTGCCTACAATACGGCCCTTGATACACGACACTGACATGACCTTTTTATGTCCCCTTCCCCTAGATTTGACTCTACTATCCTTGAGAATAGATGACATACTCTGCTTGCCGCTCCATAATCAAAGTGCCTTTCCTAAACTCGGCTGGCAAGTGATGCGGCTACAATATGTGTGATACAGAGATAAATCAATGCACAAGTGGGCGAATGTGACAACAGTATCCAACTACAGACTTCCAGCTCATTCACTGCTACTCCTTCTCCTTGTTCTTCCTAGTCCTGATCCAGAGAGTCTAGAGGTGAGTAAACCAGGAGATTGTAATGGACAGAATGGATGGAATGGCAATAATGGAAGTACAATAACTCCCTCCTCATTTCTTGTTCAATCCACACTGGGAGGTGAGACGAACATGGAGGAGCAGAGAGGCAAACGAGAACGTAAAGCAGAGACGAGGGTCAGAGTGAAGGCCTTACGAGGCAGGCTGAGAGGAAAATGGCGACGTGAAAGGCTAAATTTCTTTAGTATACGCTCTAATTAAGATGGTATCTTTCAATGGCTTATTAAAACTCTCCTTGACTTGCCTACATCAGTTAATCCAATATGGCCTGGGATACCACACAGCTGAAGAGGAAAGAAAACTATGCAAAGAACCAAACAGCTAGAGGGAAACAATAAACAAGGAAGTTCTATATTTTTGAGTAAGTTACAATTTCTTTGAACTCAGACTTCCTCTTCGGCAACAGGGGACAGGAGGGCATGGCAGGAAGCAGGGAAGCAGAGGGGATGGGGACGGCGCTCTTGCCCTGCAGAGAGCGTAGAGTTACTTTGAGGATCACAGAGACAGTAAGATGTCAAAGTGAGTCCCTTCTTCTAAATGACCTCTGAGTCTTAGAAAGGGCATTCATAGACACTGTAGTTGCTATGAGCCAGCATCCACTCGACGGTAGGGAGTGAGAGCCCAACCCTGCACTCTGCGTGGGAGCCAACATACAGCAACACGCAGAAATCATGAACTGGCATGTATTCTGAGAAAAAACACACAAGTGGGTTACTGTCATTAAGTCCAAGCTTCTAAAACCACAAACATATATCCTACTTAGAACAATGTAAAAACTGGAATTGAATAAACGAATTCCCATATTTACTAAACTCTACAAAGCTGCTCTTAGGCATGGCATTAGACACTACGTCAATTTACAAAAGTAATATTTTATTGTGCTTTTTGCTGAAAGTTTGCATGGCAAGTTAGGTTCCCATTATCAATCTCCCTATTGTTCAGTGGCATGGTTCTATTTTTCACATTTCTCACTATTTTCATGGTTTCCATTCTGATGACTGTTTCTTGCCTTCCTACTTCTTAATCTTTGCGTTCAGGCAAACGCTGCCTTCTGCCTCATACACGTGGTCACTGAAAGGAGGGGCAGCACAGCTCGTTTGGCTGCAAGTGACCTCTGGGAGGGGCGTCAGCTCCAAGTTGAATGGCTGACTCAGGGTTAGTCCCAGGGGTTCCTCTAGTTTCCACTAGTCTAACAAAGTCTGATTAAAAAAAGAAATCTGAGTTTGTTCTGTATTTCCCCCCATCCTATCTGGTCAGCCGTGGTGGTCTGACCATCCAGTTCTTCTGTCTCAGGGGACATGAGGCTAAAGCACGTGCTCCAGTTCACAATCTGTCTGTCTGAAAATTCTTCTAAACATTTCACAAATATTAGTAATCAAATAGGAACAGTTATACTTAGGCCACTAGTTAAAGTCTAAAGTGCTAACCATATAAAAGATATCTAGACAGGAGTGATTGTGGCAGGAGCTGCGAGTTCTGATTTGGGAAAAGGTGAGGTGGGAGGGGTGCAGAGAGGGTTAGAAAAGTGGCGTTGACATTGTACTGTCCAGAATGAGGAAATGGCCAGGCACTAAAGGGGCCTTACGGGATAAGACAGAAAGAAGATCTCGGAGAGGGGCCAGCATAAGCATAGGTCAAAGGTACGAGAATAGAAGAGATAATCACAGAAATAATGCCCATCAATACCTGGTCTAGAATGGCCTGTGAGTAGAAGCTGGGGATGAAAACAAACAAACAAACAAACACCAAGCTGGTCTCCATTATATACACAGAAAGAAATCAGTACGTTTTCAGTAGTGTGGAGATATAATTAGATAAGTCTATGAAATCCTGGTACAACTTATGCAATTTACATATTGTGTGTATGTCTATGTGTACACATAGTACACATAGTCCTATGTCCTAAGTCCTAAGTCCTCCCTTCCATATAAACGGCATCACTGACAATCACTTCAAGCAAGATAAAAAATTAAGTACCTTCTTTGTTATTTTCATTATGTTTCTCGGCAAGATTAGATAAAGACCTGTAGGTAACAATAAACAAGTTCATTTAATTAAAACCTATTATTCATAAAGTTAAAATTGGAATTCCTCTGACAGAAAATGGAATTCTGAAAGAATCGTACTTGGAAGAAAAGACAACTGCTAACACGGGGCAGACACGGTGGGCACTGCCAATCTTTGACATTCCTAACACAATCAGTGAGACACACACATTGCCCCAGGGCCTAAGGCGTGTCAGTAACACGCAAAGAGATTCTGCAACCCTTGTGCATGATACTCCAACAGTCAGCTGTCCGTGAAGCAATGCGAAACACGCTTCCCTCAGAAAATGGGACTCAAACAGTACAAACAACATAGTAAGTTAAAGTGGATCCCACACTGAGGGGAGTCAAAATATTTTATAAGAAGTAATTGTCACTACTAGCCACATTCTATCACAGCTGAGCATCCCTGTTTTCCACTCAATTAAATATGAACTCCCTAGTTTCTAACAATTAGCAAAAACCAGGATCATTCTTTAAAAAAAAAAAAAAAAACGTTTTTAGCTGAGTTTTTAAAAACGAAGATCAGTACAATAAAGTTTACTTTTCATAAAATTAAAGCAGACACTTACCATTCTAAATGGTCGTCCAGCAAGAAGAGAAGTTTCAGCACTACTACAATGATAGCTACCGCTTGCATGTCATATTTCACCGTTTTTGCCACTTTAGCTATAGGATCAAATGTCAGAAAATCCCTTTCTCCCATTCCAGTTATTTTTACCACTTGGCAGGTTAAAGTGTGTATTTCATCTATTGAAGAACAAAACACAAAAATGTGAATTAAATCGCTTTGTTAGTAATACCATACTAATGTCTGGAACTTTAAGAGAAACTGCCTTAAATGTCTATGTGTACACATCTAATTTTCAAAGTCCTCCCTTCCGTATAAACTCCATCACTCACAATCACTTCAAGCAAGATAAAAAATTAAGTGCCTTAACATGACGCTAAGCTAGAACTTGGGGACACATTTCAATTTTGTGAACAAGTAAAATTAGAAATGATTTCCATAAAGGAAAACTAATATTAGTAGAATCCTGGCAAAGTCTCCCCCTCTCCCCCCTATTTTGACTTCCTAGGACTTCTCTGATGTATGCACAGCCCCTCCTCGGTCTTTCTACTGTTTCACACGTCTCTTGTCTGTGTGTCTACAGCCACTGGGGTGGACGACATCCGTCTAGGGCCCAGCTTCTCGAGGAAATCAATGTGCACTTGGGACTGGCAGTGCGGCTGGCACACGGAGGCCCTTCATGTGTCCTAACTAGCTGTAGGGCTTTCCCAAGGAAATTAGAAGCTCGGCACGGACTGCATCCATTACTCACAGATGAATCATGTGAGACTTGGAACCAGAAAGTCTAGGCCTATATTTAGGCTTCCTAATCATTAGCTTTGTGACTAAGCATCAGAATCACTCAAACTCAGCTTCTACGTTTGTGAAATGGGTACGGAGAGAATAAACAGAGGCCAAAAGTAGTGCAAATGAATGAACACATCGATTACAGAACCTCTAGATTACTAACCACCTTTATTCGTTCAGAGATGTGCCTTATCTTATTCTAATTGATTTCACATATAAGTAACTATTACTATCAGCTTAATAAAAGTGTGTAGAATGGAGCTGGGTCTCCTCCATTTAACCAGTCACGAGACCTGCAGACAGTCAGTGGTGTGGTGGTGAAGAGAAGAGACGCTGAACCAGCTTGCTTCAGTCATCATCATTATATGATGGTCTCTTTAAAACCTCGTGTGAACTCTTTTTAAGTCCAAGATTTGGACAGAAACAGGATCTCTGCATATTTTGAAAGCATTATCAACAAAGTAAATTAAAATAATAAAATCTCAAAAACTATGGAATCCTAAATAAAAAATGACTTTTGAAGCCTCAGTAAGACACCTGCGGTAACTTCTTTAGTGGAGGATACATCTGAAGATGTTAAACTGTTTTGTTCCTGTTTTAAAAATATTTAAACATCACAGACTTAATATTTATAGGTGTATATTTGCTACTGTACATAATACATTACTTAAGCAACAGTCTTGTCATTCTGTGTTTATATTTTCTCTCAAGAATAAAATTCCTGAATTTCTCACATTTCTAGTTTAGCAAGAAACCCAGGCGTGAGTGACATCAGCAGATTCCACTTGAGTTACTTGTGTCTTGGCAGATCTTGACCGAGCTGAGTGCAGTGAGGCTCTCGGCACATCTTATGTTTCAATGCCGTAAGAACTCACTGCGGTCCTACCAAACTACTATTTCCAGTTTGTTTCAGGGATTGGAAATAGCACATGTTACCCAAACCCAAAACATCACCACAGTTTAGCTTATGGAATTTTTTCATGAGCACTTATTATGTAATAATGAAGCTTTATAAAAATAACAAAAACCTGACGTGGCTTTTTCTCTCGGTCTTTAATGACACCTACCGAGACCCTTCGTTACTCCACTTAGCACTCTATTCCCGGGGTAACCGATGGCGGCAGCAACAACAGCCACAGTGAACGGACTACAACAACCACTCTCAAGGGGCTTCGAAAGTCCACGGGAAAAGGAAGGAAAGAAAATGGAATTTTCCACGAACTTTTGGAAGTTCCCTTGTACTATGTGAAACATGATGGGATCCCATTTTACATCCACTAAAGCAGAACTTTTAAATCTGTCTCTGAACAGCGCTCTCTCTCAACAAGTATATGTGGTCTGGAGTCTTTTAAGAAGGGCATCTGACATTAGGCTCCAAGTCACTATGGTGACCTCTACCCTACCAGGAGGTTCTCAGAATCTGTGCTTTGGAAAGATTCTGCATCCCTCTCATTATAGGCCTAGAGCGATCTTCACCACACATTGCACACACACACCAGGGAGGTTGACTTCCATTATGTACTTCATACACAAGATGTTTGGATGCAGATAGCAGTCCTCAGTTATGTCTGGAAAACGAGGCAAATCCAAAAATGTGGCGACTTCAATAATTTTTTCATAGATATCCTCATAACTCGGCCAGGACTGGAATAAAGAGAAACAGTACAGGTAGGAAGATCGGTCATATGAATTATTGCTTTAAAAATATTTTTATGATTTTAAAACCATTTAAATACTTTCAAAAATATTTTTCAGCATTTATTGAATAAAATTCGTATATAGAGGAAAGTATGAAAGAGGAAAACCATTCAGAACCCTCACCAGCCCACCAGAAAGGCACACGCCTTCTCGACAAAACAGCAGGGAACCTGAGGGGCGGGACTGAACTGCCACCCAACTAGCAGCTACAATGTTGTCCACACTGTTCTGCTGGGAAAACCCTTCTTCTTCCAAATCCCGCTCTGATCTTTAAACACACAGATATCGAAGTCAGACTGTCATTGCATAGTGCTTACAGGCTTTGATGTGGCGAACAGCAGCAGGGTTTTAATCCGGTGGTTAAAAACCTACAGTCCAACTTCATATTAACAGTGCTTCCACCTAATGCTATATAGGAACCTCTTATTGAATTCAGGAAAATCTATTAAACATTTAATTATTAATAAATAAAATAAATCTATTCAGCACTATAAAGTTGTCTCTGTAGAGTTTCTGCATATGCTATTCACATTTTCAAAATTTGTAAACATTCCTGGTATCGTCACAACATATAGTTTTTCCTCCTTTACTCATTTATCACATAAAAGTATTAAGTTTCCAGCCTATTTTGCACAAGACACAACGGGCACTCAATTGTTGCTAAGTTGGCACCACTGTTCATCATCCCGTTGGGGTCCTCCTCTTGTTCGCCGCATCTCCACTTCACCAAGTGGACTAGTCCACCCTGACAGACATGCCCAAGGAACATGGGAAAACCCCGCCGCCCTCCCGTCTAAGGCGCATTCTGGCTGGACTTCTGAGGCAGATCTGGGTTTGTCTTCTGGCAGACCACAGTACTTGCAATATTCTTTGCCAGCACCATGATTCAAAGGCATCAAAATTCTCTATGGTCTTCCTTATTCATTGTCCAACTTTCACATGCAAATGAGGCCATTGAAAATACCACATTGGGTCAGGTGCATTTTAAGACCTCAAAGTGAAATCCTTGCTCTTCAACCACTAATACAGCAGGGCCCTGAGAAAGCTGGGCCAAACACCATTCTGGAAAACTGGCAGTATCTCCTAGAGGGACGCATCTGCACATTAAACAACAAGGCAAGTCCATTCCTACATACCCAACAGAAACAGGTGCACATCTAGCAAAAGGTACAGAGTAGGACGTTCATAATACAAGACTGTAAAAGTCCTCTTCCCATCAGTGGCCCCAAACATAATCCAAATCCAATTTGGCAATCAAGTTGATTCTGACTCATAGTGACACTATCTAGGGTTTCTGAGACCTTTAGAGGAGAAGACAGCCAGCCTCCTCTTGCTCCTGTGGATTGGCTAATGGGTTTGAACCATTGACCTTGCAGATAGCCCCACAGTGCTTGCCCCACAGTGCTTGCCCCACAGTGCTGCCAGGGCTCCTGAGAGAAACACATTGTGATATGTTCTCACAATAGAACACTACACATCAATGTGAATAAATCATCTATGCGCAACAAGACGGACTGAATTTCAAAATGTGATGTTAAAGAAGCGAAATGCTAAACAATGTGCTTCTCCTAGTACAGAGTGTAAAACTCAGACTCGGACACAAGGTCTACCGCGGTCTAGAAGACTGGCCAATGCATCCCCAGGGGCTGAGCCAGCGAGATGACAGCCATCTCCCACAGCACGCGGGGTCCAGCTGCGCCTGGACCAGGGCACTGGCCACATAACTGCGTTCTGGCTGTAAGACGCCTTCAAGCTCCCTGTGTTTTCCCTATGTTTACTTCTCTGTATGTCTATTTCACATCAGTGAAAAAGTTAGGAAGGAAAGAAGGTCAGGAAGCAGGGAGATACCAAGACAAGAGTTTCGTATGAGGCACTGCTTCGCCAGCCCACTGTGGGAGAAGGAATCTAAGTGGCCCGCTCCCTGCTGGGAAGACTCCTAGAGACCCGTGGGCCGATCCTGCCGACCATGCAGGAGGAGCTCCTCTGGCCCTTCTTAACCTCCAGTGATGGGAAGCGCTCAGTCACACCATGTCTTAAATGGGTCTGTAATGATCAGAAAGTTCTCCCTTACTCAAGGGGAAACAACCTGCTGATCAATTTGAATTTGTCAAAACGCTCACTCACTGCTACAGAGTTGATCCTGACTCCCAGTCACGCTAGGACAGAGGAGAACTGCCTCCTTTGGGTGTCAGAGCCTGTAACTCTTCACAGAAAACAACTGCACTGTTAATTCCAGGGTTCATAATGCTTTAGTTTACTTTGCATGACCTTACAATCTTCTTTGTCTTATTTTTATTTTTGATACAATCATTTCAATCTCTAAAACTCAAACTCTTGAGTTTTAATAGGAAAATAAGGTCTTCTGTTTACTCTTTATATCCATGTATGATAGGAACACATTTCTTTTAATCCAGAATAAAAGCAATATGGCCTTTTAAGGTTTTTTTAATGTTAAGTAGAACAATCTTACTTGTGCACTACTATACTGTGAATTCTATCCTACTCGGTGAACCTAAGTGAGAGAAAAAAGACAGTAAGTTCCCAGAGACCTTTGGAAGGGAGCTGTTTTCTTTTTCTATTTAGAGTTAATTCATTTAGACCTCTGCTTCATTCTGCATGAAAATCTGAAGTATCTTTTCAAGCTAAGACAATTTTAATATTACAAAAAAGATTCATGGCCGCTTTGATCCCTTCATACAATGCAGGTAGGAGATGCAATTAAAGACTTTCATCTGCAAGCGAAACAAAGCACTGGAGCAATGAGCATTCCCTTTGGGAAAACCATCACCATGAAAAATAACTGGGTGCTGAAGTCACAACAGGTCACATTAAAGCCTTCACTGACAAGGAATCTGGCAGGTTAACAAGATTCCATGCATTGTCAGCATCTCCACTGCCGGACTTGGCAGACAAGCATCTAGTGACAGACGCTGTCATGCTTTCCCAGGTGAGCCGAGGGTACAATCCTGACCAAGGGCTGAAAAAGTTGGTGGAAATGGAATTTTCCCACGACCTTTCTGGAGCCACCCCCCTGCCATATTAATAATCCAATCCACATTACAGTTTAGAGTAGAACCTAGATTTCCTTATTTTCAGTTCAGTATTATAGATTTCACTTTTGCAGCATCACGTATTTTGAAGCAGAGCAAATGTTTCTTTTCAGAATAACGCTGACAAAAAACCTTCACGGTGGGTCAACAGGCTTTCATTGTCAGTATTAATTTTTCACCAGTCTCCTATCACTGTCCAACATTAGGTGGTATTACTGCTGCACATAGTTTTCATTCTAGTTTAAAGCCAAGCATAAATGATGAATACATTTTAGTAACCTTTTAGTCGGATTATAAAACGTTAAGCATGGTCGTTAAAGAAACTTTATTATACTGTAGTGGAAATTTAAAAAATCACTCACAATTTGCAGAATACCACTGTTAGTATCTTGCCGAACTTTTTGCTTAGCCCATCTCTTGGGCACATTCATAATAATAAGACTCATAAAATGGTTGGGTTGATTTCCAGTAGTCCATCTGACACCTCTGCTTGGATGTTGTTCTAGGGCATCAAACCCATAGATCCCCAAGCCAAGTCTGCACTTCCACCTCCCAGTCACACCCTCAGTTTCTAGTCCAGTCACAGGCCCAGATTCAGGAATCGTCTTGCCACCTACCCTGTCTTCGACCCCAGCACCACCTGACACGGTATTCCAACTGTACCTAACAGCACTTGACTGGACAAATTGTACCTAAGCATCTGTTTCATTATTTATTAATCCATTAAAATCATTATGAGAATATGGTAATTGATTTTAATACAATTATTATGAGAAAGAATCAATTATTAATCAAAATCATTATGAGAACAAAGATCGCAGATCCCACTAAACAGCTGGAATGGAGGCCAGTGAGGCGGGCCAATCTTGGTGGCTCAATATAGTCTCTAACCTTTGGCAGAAAGCTGGGAGCACTGCAGCAATGGGTTAGAGATTCAGGGAACATCTTATCTCCTCCTGGTCTCTGCCTCACTGTCCTTACCCTCGGTAGGCAATGGGCCTCAACTTTGAAAGGAGTCCCACACAGAGGACTACCACACGGACATTGCAGTGAACGCTCAACCACTACGCTAGGCTCGCCTGGAATTTTATAAAAGGGAAGGATCTCACAGAAGCTGCTAGGTATTTGTAGCATATTTTCATTAGGTATATAGAATCTGACATATTCAAAAGAATGAGGCCTACCTGAATCCTGCTCAATATTTTGCACATCCAATAGGATATTTCATTTCATACTGGACCCCTGATTACCTGTTAATTAGTCTAGCTCAACCTCAAGTCCTTTGTGGGATGAAGGGAAACAGCCAAAGAGTAATAACAAGACAGAGAGAAGGAGAGCACTCTACTAGCGCGTCGTCGGTTCTGACTCAGAGTGACCTGGTAGGGCAAGGCAGGGCAGAATTGCCCCTTTGGGTTTCTAAGGCTGTATGTAAATAAATCTTTACAGTAACACATTGCTTCCTCTTTCTCTCTCCGAGTGGCTAGTGAGTTTGAACGACTGACCTTGCAGTTAGCAGCCCAACACATAACCCACTATGCCACCAGCTCTAGGTACCATCTATATCAGAACTACTTGCAAGATGCTGACTAAAAATACATAACCACAGATTCCATACAAAAGTAATGGAAGCAACCTCTGAGAATGGCTCTAAGAATCTAGCTACTAAATCTCTGAGAACCTCTAGATATTAATTAAATTGCTAAGGCGTAGCCTCATTGTTCTTGTAGTCCAAAGAACACCTTGATGTGGTTTTCATCCATGACCCCGAAGGGAGAGGTACACACGGATCATGCCAGTGGTGGCTATGGTGTTGCAGCAGCAGGGAGAGAAAAAGCACACGGCCAAACCCCAGCGGTTAGTTGCTCTCCTTGCGGCCCCACAATCATTCTGGGAGGC